GGGTGGGCTGGTTGGGCGGGGGTGACCGATGGAAACGGGGACAGTTGGTGCTCGGGGAAGGGTGGGCGCGCGGGCCAGCGGGAAGGCTGGGTACGAAGAACGGGAAATGAGAGGAGGCGCCGGATTTTCTGCGGCGAGGGATCCTGCGAGATCAGAGAAAGGAAAGGAACTTTCATCAAATACCACATGTCGAGAAATAATAACTTTATGCGTGGATAAATCAAAACAGCGGTAGCCTTTCTGTTCACGGGGGTACCCAAGAAAGATGCAACAAGCAGAGCGAGGTGAGAGTTTGTGAGCAGCGGTAGTAGAGGTGTTCGGGAAGCGGAGACACCCAAACGTGCCGAGGTGGTCGTAGGTGGGGTGGACGCCATAGAGGAGAAAGTGAGGGGTAAAATGATGAATGGCACGAGACAGACGTATGTTGAGAAGGATGGTGGCGGTGTGCAAAGCTTCTGCCCATAAGGGAGGAGGAAGCGAGCCCTGGAAGAGGAGCATGTGTACAACGTCGCTGGTCGTGCGGATATGCCGCTCGGCCTTCCCATTTTGTGGAGAGGTGTGGGGGCAGGTGAGACGAAAAGAAACGCCGTTAGAAGAGAAGTAGTCACAAAGAATGGTGGTGAGAAATTCGCCGCCATTGTCACACCGCACACATCGAATAAGTAGGCCATATTGGGTAAGGACAAACTTAAAAAATCGGAGAAGAACATCACAAGTTTCAGATTTTGCACGAAGAGGGAAGGTCCACGAAAAATGAGTATAATCATCAATAATCATAAGATGATACTTGTAGCCTGAGTAACTCACAACCGGTGATGTCCACAAATCACAATGAACTAAATGAAATGGGGCGGTGGTGTAGGAGGTGGATGAAGGAAAAGGAGGCGTGTATGTTTGCCAAGTTGGCATGCGGTACATAATGATGAAGTGCGGGCATGTTTATTACAAGTGTTGAGGAAATCTAAGGAAAACGGGAAAAGGAGGAAGAGCTCTGGTGCCCAAGCCGCCGGTGCCACAAGTCATGTGTGGAGATGGTGAAGGCCGTCGACGGTACAGCGCCATTGTTGCCGGAGAAGGGATAGAGATCACCTTCACTGTTGCATCTCAAAAGAACTTCCTTGGTGGCTAGATCCTTCACGGTAAAACCAGCTGGGTCAAATTCCACAGAACATAAATTATCGCGAGTAAATTTGCGTACAGAGATAAGGTTCTTAACAATATTAGGAGAAAGCAGAATGTGACTGAGATAGAAGGGACGAGGTGGAAGATGAGTAGTACCAAGGACAAGCACAGGGAGCCGAGCTCCATTACCGACAATAATATGACGAGAATAAGGTGCTAATAGGGGACGAAACAAGGTCAAGGTACCTGGGTCCCCGGAGACGTGCAACGCGGCTCCTGTATCCATGATCCACTCGGCAGCATGCGGCGAGAAAGCGGTGCCGTAGCTGGGCGCGGCGTGGTAGAGGGCACTGGCGTCCCACGCGAGAGGCGGTGTGCCGTACGAGGCGGGTGGAGCGGGAGCGGGCGCGGGGGCGCTGGGAGCATCACGGGATAGGCCTGCTGCGGGATGCCGGGGCGGGGGCCGAGGATGCCGGTGCTGTTGGGTGGAATCCAGGGGGCACGCGGCAGAGGGAAGGGCATCCCCATCGGTGCGAAATAGCCGAGCCAGGGCCGGCCCCCAGCGCCACGCCCACCGGCTGTGTCACCGCGGCCATGGCCACGGCCGCGTCCACGCCCGCCGCGCCCACTGTTTCGGTTGGCGCCGAGCTGTCCCGCGTGGCCACCACTGCCGTCGCGGTCGTAGCCGCCGCGGCCGCCGTTCTGGACGGCGAGGACTTGGATGCCTTCGGCGCGAGCGCGCTTGTCCAGGGTCAGCTCGGTGAGGACGAGGCGAGAGTGCGCCTGGTTGAAGGATGGTAGCGGCACGGTGGCCTGAATGATGGCGGCCTGCATGGCGAACTTGGGGCCGAGGCCATCGAGCATCTGCAACGTGAGGGCTCGATCCGTAACCGGCTCCTTGACATCAGCGAGGGAGGCGGCGATCCCTTGCAGACGACGACAATAGTCGTTGATGGAGAGATCACCACACACGCAGCCCCGAAACTCCTGTCCCAGATGCATGGCGTGTTCAGCCTCATTGGGGAGGAAGTACTCGTGCAGGCGGCTCCAGATGGTGAACGCAGTGGAGCCGGCGGGGGCGACGATGTCGAGGAGGTCGCCGTCGATGGTGGAGAAGAACAGCAAGACGATGGTGTTGTCGTCGTCCCACCAAGTAGGGTCGGCGAGCCGGCGATCCGCGCCGGCGTGGATGTGGTCCTCCGCATGGTACCGCACGAGCACGAGGGTGACATAGTTGCGCCAGCGGGTGAAGTTGCTGCCATCGAGGGCCAGCTTGAAGTCAAGGACGCCGATGATGCTGGCTGGGATGGGAGAGGAGGGTGCAGCGGGGGGTGCCGGCGTGGAGAGAGACGCAGGGTTGGGTGGGTGTGAAGCTAGGGGAAGATCGCCAGCTGCAGGGAGATCAGAGGAGAGCGATGCGCGTGGCCGCTCGCCAGGAGACAGGCTAGCTGAGAGGTTTGCAGCGGCCGAGCCATCGTCTTCACGAGTGAGGGGAGGCGAGGCGGAGGGAGAGTGGGAGGAGCTGGTCGACATGACTGGCTTACCAACAAGAATTGTGAATCCCGCATCCATTCACTGATTCAGTTACAGGTAGATATACACAGGCGTGATCCCTGCATGCAGGGCCATGATGGGATAATGGCGATTGACTAGGACGCCCTACACTCTAGCCACTACTGTTACAATAGAATAACGTTACAAGGTACACATACAATGTGACAGTTCAACATCAAGACGGTAGCTACCTGCTCACAGGCGAAGTCCTTGGCACTGTTTAAGTATTAGGGGCTTTTTCATGACACGGCGGGCAGGAGATATGGGGTTCTAGAGACGCCAAAAAAGGTGACACAAATTGGCCGCAGAGCTCATCTGACATGGAGGCATCCGTTCATCCTTGTGTCAAACTTGCAGCCTACGTCCCTACCATGACCATCACTCCATCAGCGCCTTCACCTGATCAGCTGTTCAAGACAAACAAAATCATCAATGACTACAAAATTCAATCTATTTAGCGTCACCAACTTGAACGTGGAAGGCTGTTAGGCAGCGTCCCGGATCACCGGAGCTTGGGAAAGCCAGAAGAGCTAATCTGTTCCCGCGTCCTAGCCCTGTCGCACGATACGTCAGCACGATTGTGTCCGCCGCCGCGGCCGGGCACCCTGTAAGCAGCTCTATCATGCGCCCGGGTCTGCAAAATATAGATGCGAGGATGTAACGAAATCCATACATCAAAACGCAATCAAACTGAAGAAAGGCCAAGGCCATCGAGTTTGGGAATCAGGACACGAAGGAGGTGTCTGTGACGATGAGCGGGGTGGGTTCTGAGAGGAGATCCTTGGGGAGGTGGATCAGGGCATGATGCAGGCGGCGGTGCCTCGGGGAACTACTTGGAGGCGAAGAGAGCGATGAGGTTCGAGTTCTGGTGCAGTGGTCGCTGACAATCACCGCCCGTAGGCCATCAAGCACTAAAACGATGCTTGGGGAGAATATGAAGGGGAACATAAACCATCGGACTATGTGGAGAAGATAAAGAGGCAACAAACTTTGTGCAGAAGATGAAGCAAGCAACATAAATCAATTGTTGGGCGAGTAATTGCAGCGGACGATAGTTTACAGGCTTGCAACGCCATAGTCGGAGGACTGGATTTTTCTTTTTTTTTAAAGTTGTAAGTGGATGATGTGGCTTGCCATGTCATGTGAGGTATGTGGTGGGACATGGATGGTGAGATGGATAGACTGCATGTCAAAAAAAAAATAGGATAATGGGAATGAACTATTTAGATGTTATAGATTATAGATTTATTTTACAATTTTGAAGGGGTGCCATGGCACCCACATCACCCGTACTAGATCCGCCCCTGCCGGCCAGTATACGTACGTGTGTGGCGTACGTAGCTCTTTTTGCTAGCTCCGATCAATATAATCAGGAATCCAGAGCTTCTCGTTTATCATTGTTTGTCGTCGCGTGTCACTGTCGTCGAAAAGTACTCGGCGCCGGGGCTGGATCAACAATGTAAAACTGCAGCGAGAACAATATTTCCATTTGTGAGAGCTGTACAAGAAAAAATGTTTTTCAGTTTCTAACAACAACCCTTTTTTTATGAGAAACCGTAGAACAATAGTTCTATGGTATTTCCATTAAATCAAAATATATACGGTGCGGTCTTACAACATAAAGAGATCAACCTATGCCAGTTTCTAACAACAACCGTGACCATAAGTGCGGACAATTTGTTTCTACAAACATAAAAGGATGTTTGGATGGAAAATCGTAGGTTCACACTTCATAACTGTGCTTCGACAGAAAATATTCTCGTTCGAGGACACCTTTTAAAAGCTTATGGGTGCACAAACTCGTCCTTGTGTGTGCTCCCAGCCCAGGTTCACAGATGCATAAGGTATAATCAAGCTAGTCGTGTTTGCGTAGGTGCACTCACTGGTGTTCATGAGTGGTGGTTGTGGTTCTATCTGCATGTCTTCCTTGTAACCGTGCAAATAAGTATATTTCCGCGTCTCTGTGTGTGTTGGCTTGGGTATGTGCATCCTAATTATGCAGAGGCCGGGTGTGTGCTCAGTATGTTATGTATCCTCTTGATGCTTTATTTTAAGCCAATAAAGTCCACCTTTTATCGAAAAAAATAATATTTTGGATGTGATGGAGGATGAGGTGGTAAATGTAGAACTCACACAATTCATGCCTCGTAGAGCGTAATTTTCTCAGCGAAGCTAGCTATGTGCATCAGAAATAAAAACACTCGCATCTCTCGGAAATGAAAAATGAGAAAGATGAGCCTGACATCCATAACTAATTCAATCATCAGAAATAGGCACCGGCTTCCAAGGTGGGACATTGAGCGTTCTGTGTACAATGCCGAAGCACCTACCACTTGACTTTTTGAAGAAAATGACAGATAACTTTTCCGATGAACGACTGATTGGTAAAAGTGCATTTGGAAATCTTTATAAGGTACATATGATTGAGCATTACCTCTTTTTTGTCTTTTCAAAAGTTGATAAAAGAACAGTTATGCTGATGTATGTAACTACACTTAAACAGGGTATTCTGGCAGATGGTACAATGATTGTTGTGAAGAAGCTTGCAGAAAATTCTCCGATCGCACGTGACAAAACATTTTCTAATGAAGTTCAAAATATCATGGCTCTCCGACACGGCAATATTGTGAAGTTAGTCGGCTTTTGTCATGAAGGTCAAAAGAAAATAGTGCAGAAAGAGGGAAGGTATATTCTTGCAGACATTTATGAAAGTTTACTCTGCTACGAATATTTACCTATGGGAAGTCTTCACAAAAATCTTTTTGGTAAGCAATCCACTATCTGGCATAATTGTGTTTCTACTTTAGTTTCTTGTAGTATTATATATACTCATTTTTTTGCGGCGTTATACTCTATCTAGCTCTTTTGTTGGTTTTATGTTTCTTTAAATTTTGTACTCATATAAAGAAAATGGCAGAATGAGGTGATAATATTGCATATTGCGAACTGAACAAGTCTTGTAGTACTTCACTGAAAGTTTGTCATTCGCCAATGTTTTTTGTGTTGTTAATATGTTAAGAAATAAATATTGTTGGAGGTCATAATCCTAGGGTACTTACATGTTTTTTTGTATAACTTCTGTAGAATCTAACGGCATGGACTGGAACACTCGGTTCAAAATAATTAAGGGGATCTGCCAAGGCTTACTTTTTCTACATAGAGTTGGCATTATCCATATGGATCTGAAGCCTCAAAACATACTGTTGGGTGATGATATGGAACCGAAAATTGCGGAGTTTGGTATCTCGAGATTACTTGATCCAGAACTAACACGGTTAAATACCCAAGATGTCATGGGGACATAGTAAGCCCGTCATAAACTTGTAAAATATTTTCGGTCCTTTATGGTAATGTAAATTATATTTTCTCCTCTCCAGTAACGCTTATTGAATTAATGCTAATTCTATTCAGTGGATACATGGCTCCAGAATATCTACACAGAGGAGAATTCTCCACCCAGTCAGACATATATGGTTTAGGTGTACTAATCTTGGAGACCACTACAGGAAAGAAGAATGGCAAGAAAGACTCATGTGGAAGAGAATACATATATGAAGTAAGAGTAAATATTACTTTACTTTACACAGATCCAAATTTAGAAACTTCCGTTACATTTTAGCTTCTATTTTGTTTCCAATGACCATATTCAAAGTCTATATGTGTATAGGTACACTGTAAATGGACGGATGATTATATAGCGTCAAAGCACCGTTCGCTCGATGGAGATTTCTTGCAGCAGATAAAAGCATGCATTCTTCTCGGACTAAAATGTGTGCATATTGATAGGAAGATGAGACCTTCCATAGAATACATTGTTGACACGCTCAATGGACTGACAAGCTGCTACAGTTGTCCTTTGATCGCTCCAGAGCCTTTGGCATACTCCAGTAGGCCTCTGATCATGAAACCTCCAGAGCCTTTGGCATGGTCCAGTAGGCGTCTGATCGTGCAACCTCCAAAGCTCCGCTTCTCTTTTGAGCCAAAAAGGTTGATCTCCTGCTCGTTTTCTCTAACGAACACGACAGATGGTCATATCGCCTTCATGCTTGTAACGGAAAATCCGAGGATCTACCTTACAAAGCTACCGCTTTGCGGTCTTGTGCTGCCAAATTGCATCTACACCATAAATGTGACCATGCGCGAGCATAAGGAGCAGCCATCAAGAACTGGCGAGTTTCTAACCCTCCGGAGCAGTACAACGCGTGAGGAGCAACTTACGAATGCCCATCCAGATTCCTTAGCTGGTGATGCTGTGAAAGAGGTGAAGCTGTGTGTTGTTTGTGACCCACAAGAGGGTACAACCTCAAATCAGGCACGTGTTCTTTTGTTTTTTTGCTTTAGATTGGGTGAAAAAACATGCCATATATGTTCACTGATGATGTGTAAATTGTCATTCTTAAAATTCCTTATCCAATTTTCCTCTGTTTGTTTTGTGAGACAGTCGATCCAATCAGCAGCAGAGGTATGTTTTTCTTCTTCTTCTTTTTGTTTTGTGCTTTAGTTTGGGAGTTTCTAGTAGCTTAATGGCATGTAGAGGTATCATGTAACTTGTTGTTCGGTGCTCTCTTCGATCAGATCATAGCCAGTCAAAACTATCGGCAGGTGCTGTCTGTGGAGGTGCACTCAAACAAAACATGGTGAGTACTTCACTTAATTCGTGTGGGCATCGACATATCCTCTATGCACGTTAAAACTTTTCGGGTTGTGCAATATAGGATCTTGACCAGCAACCGGAGGGGTTGTGTTTGCATTTGGAACTACCAGACCAAGGTATTGGTTTGCTGGGTGTGTACTCTGTGTGCTTAAGTAGTGTGTCATATCATGTTACGCCATAATATATTTTGTTGGGACTGATCAAATAATCTCTTTTGCCATGCAGACAGAGGAGAAGTGCTTTGAAGTCAGCGCAGACGAACCAGGCATGCCTTCTCATCGGCTTCCCTGTTCACCTCCCTTTCACCATGAACTTGAACATATAGGCATGAGCCACCGCACTGATTCTTAACCTTTCCAAATTCTAACTGCAGTATATTCGGCAACATTCATTGAGCGAGAGGAATGGCTCGTGGCTGGTGGTGGAGATGGGTACATCTACGTGTACAGCTATGACACAATGGAAGAAATCAAGAGCTTCGAAGCTCATGATGGTCATCACATCAGGTCTTTGGCTGCAAGTCCAACTCGCACTTTTTTGCTGTCGGCATCAGATGACCACATGATAAAGATCTGGGACTGGAAGGATAGCTGGAAGTGCATGCGGACGTTTCTAGGGCACGGTAACTGTGTCATGCAAGTAATGTTTGACCCGGATGACAGCAACAGCTTTGCCAGTGCTTCCTTGGATCACATGGTCAAGGTTTTATTTTCCTCTTCCTATTTCAACTGCCAAGTAACTAAATGGTTCTTACATCAGAGCTACTTACGTCAGCAGAGTGCCTAATTTTTGAGATTTACAGATGTGGGACATTTACTGTATGACATGCAATGCCACGTTAGATGGACAACCTGATGGTGTACTTTGCCTTCATTACCTCACAGATAGGAATCAGCAGCGCTTACTTGCTGGATATTTGGATGGTGCTGCAAAGGTATTACATGTGGTTTGTTCAAAATAGAGTAATGCACTCTTTCTATCTGCATCCTAAGTTGTTTTCTTGTTTCTTTGGTCGATATAAGATTTGGGATCCGGAGAAAGAATGTTGTGTTAGTGCGGATGGAGGGATTGCAAAGAGTGTCAATGCTCTTTGTTGGCACCCCGAACTTCGTGTAGTAATTACAGGTTCACTTGATGGCACAGTCCAAATCTGGAAGTCCACTAAACCTGGATACAGGTACTGCTTTCTACTTGTACTCATACTTGTCTACTTGTACTCATACTTGCTGACTCATACTTGTCTAGTTGGTATATATATACTGTCCAGTCTAGTTGTTCTCTTCCCTTCAGTGTTGACGATTTTCATAGAGTTAACCGTGAGTTTTGTAATCTTACAGGCTTGAGAATATAATTGGTTTCAACCTCGGTGCAGTTAACGCTATTGGATACATACAAGGATTAACAAGGTAATGAGGAGTGCCATAATGTTACTTT